TTCCTCATATATATATATATATATATATATCAAAATATATAAATGAAGAAAAATAAATAGATATATTTTTTAAGAAGAGTATTATATATTATTTATTAAATATTCAGACTTCTTTGTTTATTTTATATTTATATTCTCATAAACTTTTTGTTATCATAAGTTTCTCATTAATGAAGTATAAATGTATTTTATAAACTATTATTTCTCATTTTATTTTAAGGATATGGAATCTTGTCTTATCCCAACAACCTTCTCACCAAGTCTCCTCCTCTCCTCCCCCTCCCTGCACCCTTTCCTCTCATTTTTCTCTTTATTTTATTCTTTTCAGAGTCATCTCGGGCTATCTCCATCTTTATTTATTTATTTATTTTTCACACCTCATTGCTTCTTCTCCAACATTTTGTTTGTTATTACATGTCGCTGATTTGCAGAAACTAGTTTCTCTTAAAATAATAAAGATACTTTGTGAAGGATATTTTTGTAAGAAAAAATACAAAAAAATAAAAAATAAAAATACCGGGCAGTGCAAAGACCAAAAAAAGGACTCTGAAAACCAGCTCCCAAAAGAAAAAATGAGTGAAGCAGAATCTACATTCAACTCACTTTCATGTTTCTGCATGACTTATAAACATTAAACAATCGTTGTTTATGAGTTTTTATTCAATCATTTTTAAATTGACCAATAGAAACCTCGGGCATGCCCTAGATTCCATTCCAGGCACCAGGTATAATAATTTCAAACTCGCACATTTAAACGTGTTTGGTTCCGAATTCAGGCAAAGCCATAAGCATTTTTAACACGAAAAATAGAAATTATGAAGGGAAGCTTATGCATAGATATGCCTTTTGACGTAATTTTGGTTCTACTCAACATATAATAACCAAATATTAAGGCTATTTCCTAATTTTAATATTAAAAATCAACAGCAAATATGACGTCATATTCAATTATTTGTATCTTTCACTTGCTTAATATATTTTCCATATCAACTCATTAAAAATATACGTTCAAAATTTTAAAAGGACATTTGTTGTCTAATGTGTTTAAAATACATTTCCCTAGGTATTAAATGTTTAAAACAATTTCACTTTTACCAGCACGCTTGAATAAAACAATGCAAGCAAACCATTTCTGAAATCGGACAATTTTAACATTACCAATTGCAATATAATTTTTCACATCTAAAGGATGCAAAAACTTCTCAAGGAAATTTAAGTTGGGAGCAAACAATGGTAAATGCATAAATCGCGGTTACTGTAACTCAGCATTAGCATGCATGAACGGTAAGACGGCACGATACCGTAATGTCACCTCATCTCCACTACTCCCCATATAAAAAAGTCGTAATTTTTTGTTATAAAATTTTATTATCTTGTTAAAAACCTAGCTGGCAATTCACCAAAAATATAAAAATACCTATAGCAATCTTTGCTGTAGAAGAATAATTTTTACGCACTATATTATATTATTAAGCCGCAGTGAAATAAGATCATACATGGATTCGAATTTTAAGGTAAACGGTTGAAATGCGCCAATGTCAAGGATTCAAGTTTATCAATCAAGAGCCAAAAGTTACACACGAGCCAGAATTAAGACCACTTTAATTTTCCAAAAATTTATCATTGCTGACATATAACGCATTAGCGCATCGATATTTGATCTATGCAGGAGCAGACATTCTGCCTTTCACGGAACGAAAGGAAAACAAGAGGCATAGAATTATTAACATGAACTTTTGTCGATACTTATGATACACAGTAACATTAATGAAAACTACCCAAACATAAAATTCGCTGCCCTTTCTAGCAAAACATTAATCCCTTCTTTTAGTCATCAAATCCTCGTTAGATCAAACAATACAAATTACAACACCAAGTAGAAATAAAGAAAATATCAAGCCACAATACCTCAATAAAAAGGCTCAGAATGGAAAAGGATATGTTGTGGGGAAGCAAAGAGAAATGTGATGCCCATCAATGCCCCCATAAGATAACAAAGAAACTGTGAATCTGCACTGGCCAATTTGTCAACGATAGTACATAAGCTGCTGTCTAGATGAGTTACCGGTATATCCATCATACATGGCTTGAGATCCCCCAGAGTTTACGCCCATTGAAGCAGGAGCTAGACCGTGTTGTCCAGTCATTTGCAGAAGAGCTTGACCTGAAAGACCAGATACAGCAGCCTGACTCAAGGCCAGTTGGCGCTGATAAGCCAACAACTCAGCAGGAGAATACCCTTGATTCATCCCTGCAGTAGGGAGTATTTGATATGGTTGAGCAGGAGGAGGTAGTGGATTTGAAGCTGTTCCAGGAGGAGTTGGTTTACTACCCCATGAACACTGCACAAATCGAGAAAAATTTTATTCATTGACAGTACATAAATAAATACCTCCGGCATTCAAAAATTAACAATCGTAGACAATGTGAGCATTTAATTGTGTTATGATTCTAGAGGTGCATCACATCCATAGATTTCTTGTCTTTTAACTTTTCGACAATATAAAATTAGGTCCATCAGTACATAACAGTTTGAAGAAATTCTCTAAAAGTATGGCTTTCTTGCCATCTAAATCCACACCCCACAAGTGCAGGGACAAAAGTAATGGCATGGATAGGTGCAAACATGTGTCTCTACATGCAAGTAACATGGTCAGGTATTGCCAAAAAAACTGCACCCTCTGAAGAAAAGACTTATTACAAGGCATTATTATATAGGGCAAACATTAGCCCCAATACAGAAATGGCAATTAATTAGTTGACCAGATAAGCAGCAAGTGAAAGATATCAAACCTTCATAGACTTCCCACGAATTATTCTTCCATTAGCC